ATATATATATATATGCTATATGATGTAACGGTATACTCTTACAATTAGATCATTTTTGAATTTTTTAATTTTTTTTTGATAAATTATTTCATTTTAATAATTGAATTAAAAAAATTTAACTCTTTGCGTACAATTGTATACCCTGTTGGTATAGCTATATACTATACTGATATCCTATGTTAGTTAATATTTTTTGGTTATATTAACTACATTTAAGTGGTGCACAATTTGATTTTTTTAGTAATAATATAAAAAAAGAATAATAAAAAATAATTAAAACAATAAACGAAATTAGATTATGAAGAGAAAAAGAATATAAAAAAATAGAAATTAAATGAAATTAGAAAAGGAAAAAAGAAAAAATAAGAAGAAAACGAGAAAAAAATAAAAAAGAAAAAAGAAAAAAAAAGAAGCATCGAAATAAAAAAGAATTGGAGAATAAATAAAAAATTTCCCACAAAATCTACTATGGGTAAAAAATATAATTAGTTTATGGGTAGGAAAATAAATGGGTACACAAAGATAAATAATTTTGCTTTTGTCGTTGAATGTGTCAAAACCCCTTAAAAAAAAAAAAAAAAACCAGTCTTTCATAATCCATAATTAATAGCCGACCTCCCCCGCTCAATTCCCAAAATCTTGTTCTTCCGTTTCTTAATCAAGTTCTCAGTTCTTAATTAAGTTCGTCTCATTTTCTTCAATTCAGTCTCAAAAGTGCTTCTACTTGTTCTTGAACTCAACTCTTGCTAAAACTTTCTCAAATTAAGCAATCATGTATGGGAAAAGAAGGCGAATCTGTTCACCGTCCCCCGCACCAATCAAGATTCTAGAATTTAAAATTGAGAAGCGTTATCACAATATTCTTAGTGAAGCAGTCGAATCTTTACTATTTCTTCATAATTTGACATTAGGCTCCGCTACAACAATAATGTCTTCCGAAAAAGGAGTGCAACTCCAATCAATCATCACAACGCCGGAAGCTCCATCAGATGATATTTACGTCGTTGCGGCATTGCGGGTAGCGCTCTCCAGTTTTCAGGCTTACTCTACTCAACTCAATTCACACATATAGTAGTTAGCCTAATAGATTTATCAGATACGCTTAAGGTTCTATCCGATGCAGAATCAATTTCTTTTAGTGCCTTCTATCGGAAAATTGATGATACCGATGAAGTATACTTTGTAATAGCATCCGACGACGGTCATGTCGAAAATGTATCTGCTGCTATTAAATTTGATGAAGAACGGTGTAAATCAGAAGTTGAATATGATGGACTGGTTGCAATACCGTCCAGAGAATTGGCTCTATTCATTTGGCTTCACGACTCAGGTACTAAAGATTTCATCAAAAAGTATTAAATTGTTATTGTTAATTTTTTAACCATTTCCTCTTGTTTTTTGTAGATGAATTTCACATTTTAGTTACAAACAATTTCGTCAGAGTCAGAGCGTTAAAGGATGAATTACTACTATCCAAACAGGTAGTAATATTTATGCAAGTGCAATGCTTATTGCAGCTTTGTTGACACAAATCAATTTAATTTGCGTTGCCTCTCTGAAGTTAACTCCTCAAATAAATGTTATAGCTATATAAGTTCACATGTTGCTGAAGCTATGCCTCTATGGAGTTAACATTTGTACTTGACATGAGAACCATATTTTGATTCTTACCTTTTCTAGAAAAATTCCATGAATGCGATTGATAGGACTAGCATTAGTAGGTTGTATTTGACCCAAAATACCATAAATGAATTTACTTGGGTGGTTGGATTCATCCTTGGGAGGAAGTCCCTCTTTTGGAACCAAGCCCTAACTCAAAGACTCAATATCCGAACTTGCTCTATTCATATGTGTTGGCTGACCGGGCTTTTCACATGTTACTTACATGACACGAGAATATTTTGCGGCCTAGTGGCTTGCCAAGGAATGGCTTTTGCGATACTCACGCAACAAGGCGTAGCTGTGCTTCCTCACTCTTTCCCAACCTCACCTAAATATCGTTTGCGTGTTAGCTGTGTTACCAAGTGTACTTTTTCTCGTGCAATTCTTGGGGACGCAACACCAATACTCGCCCCTGCCTTGCCTTACATCTTGGGCTTTGCGTTACTCACACGATTTCTCCCTACTGCACCACTTGGTCTCTTGCCAGGCCTAGCAAAATCATGGTTCACGCTAACTTACTTGATGCGAGGTTATGGCGTGAACCTATTTTTCGGCTACTTTAACCTTTGCTCCTTACTTGCATTTATCGTGAGTGCAGGGAAGGATCCTTGTGTTCGAATCCTTGTCCAACTCCAAAAACTTTCCTTTTGGCTACCATATCACTTCAAGACACCTCCAAACCATTTAAGGCACACATCATGATTTTGAACCTTACTGCAAACAAAGGTCTGTTATTTAAGTGGAGAAGAGTAGAGGGGCAATGCCTATTATCCATCGAATTTCAAACCTTGTGCCACTGGCCATTGGGGATTTCTTGGTGATAAAAAAAGATAATTTCTTGTGATCTGTGTACACTTCAAAATGTACACCATACAAGTAGTGACGCCAAATTTTAAGGCGATCACTACCGTGGCTTCCAAATCACGATGGGGTAGTTCTGTTCATGGTTCTTCAATAGCCTTGTAGCAAAGGCAATGACCTTACCATTTTGCACCAATACACATCCCAACCCAACTGTCTGAGCATCACCATGCACGGCGAGACCACCCGAACTTGTCGGCAAGGTTAACACCGGGGCTGTAGTCACAACTCTTAGACACTCTTTTCACCAGTGTCGAACCACTGAAACTTTGCCTCTTTCTTTGTTGTCAACCTTATCAATGACGCAACAAGAGTAAAAAAACCCTTAAATGAACCTATATACCTGGCCAATTCCCTGAAACTTCAATTTGTTGGTATCGTTGGTCTTAGTCAACTCTGGACTGCTTCTACTTTCTATGTACAGGGGCCGGTGTACAGTTTGAAGTACGATAGAGCTCAGTAGCTTAAAACCTGTATTTGTCTTAAGAAATACATTTACTATGTACAATTATTAATTTAGAACCCATTAACTCAAAAGGGCTAGAATCTGAACCCATAACTTCAAATTCCGGATCCAGCTCTGTCTATGGATCGACTTTAATACCTTCACTTGCAACAATATGGCCCAAGAATGGCACTACCTCGAGCCAAAACTTACACTTAGAGAATCTAGCATACAACTTATGGTCCCTAAGTGCTTGGAAAGTCGTTCTGCAAGTTGTTCTCGTTCTCAACACATCACCAAGTCATTTCCAACACTTATGTTACCACCCCGAACACATTTCAACATCATACACATTCATCTGCACATACACTATCCATGGCACCCTTTCTTTTTTGAATTAAAGCAATAAAGGTGGCATTGCAAGACCTAAACATGTGACAATTATGGTGGAAATGGTTAAGTGCAGCCATGATGTTTGTTTTAATGATATCCCATGCTTTTTGGAAGAAACCCATGGTGAACCCATCTGGACGTCAGGAGCACATGATTTCAGTGCTTCAAGAACCTCAGATTCTACAAAGGATGATTCCAACTCATCCTTTTCCTCCATGCTCAGTGTAGAAATGCCTTCAAAGTCAGCATCAGGTCTCCAAGGTTCACTTTCATTGTACATATTCTGGTAAAATTCCAGAATTTCCTTCTTGATCAATGCTTTGTCCTCAATGGTTTCATCCCCTATCTTCAACCTGTCAATGATGTTGCTTCTTCTGTTGTAGTTGGCCATTCTTTGAAAGTACTTGGTGTTTTTGTCCCCTTCTTTTAGCCACAAGCACCTTGACTTCTGTCTCCAAGAGGTTTCTTCAGCTGTTGCAATCTGCTGCAGCTCCACCTTCAGGTTGAAGGCTTTCAATTTTTCTTTTGGGGTTTGGATTCTAATCTCTGAAATTTGGTCCAGAATTCTTAGTTCATCAAGTGCCTTGTTTCTCCTAGCTTCAATCTTGCCAAAAGTTTCCTTATTCCAGTTGCTAATGTCTTTTTAAGACTCTTTAGCTTCTGAATAAGGATGAAATCTGGAGTTCCCACCACACTGTATGACAACCACCAATTTTTGACCCTATCCATGAACCCCTCCGCTTGAAGCCACATATTGTCAATTTTGAAATATGAAGAAGTGGCTTCCCAGTCACCATTTTCTAGCAAGATTGGTTTGTGATTTGATAATACCCTTGGAAGGGCCACTTGATTTATTGATTTGAATGTTTCATTCCACTCTGAGGAAAACAAGAACCTGTCAATCCTTGAAGCTTGGAGAGAAGTTTCCCCTCTTGACCAAGTGTATTGAGCTCCCTGCAAAGGAAGGTCAATTAGATCTAAGTCATCAATGATTTCCGAGAATGAATTCATTGCCCTGGATCTTCTTGTGCAATTCAATCTTTCACTCTCAAATATGCACACATTGGAATCCCCTCCAATCACCCACCGATCAGACCATAAACCTCTTACTCCGGCTAGTTCAATCCATAAATCCTCCCTTTCTGAATTGGTATGAGGTCCATATACCCCTGTAAAGACCCATTTAAAATCTTCTTGAAGACTCTCGAATCTGCAGGAGATTGAGAAAATGCCAGTCTGAGTATCAACACAGTCCCAATTTCTTCTGTCCCATAAAATAAGAATACCCCCTCTGGTACCGGATGCTTGAAGTTCAGCCCATGCAACCGATCGACTATCCCATAATTCCCTTATTAGTTTTGAGTTCCAATTCTCAATTTTAGTCTCCTGTAGACACACTACATCCACTCCCCATTTTTTAATCAGAGATTTAAGTGTGCTCCTCTTCTTCCTGTCATTAAGCCCCCAAACATTCCAACTTAGGATTTTGATTCTCGTTCAGGAGATGATTGGTGAAGCCTTCCCCTTCCTTTCCTTGCGCTGTCATTCAAACCCCAGTTTAGTTTTTTAAGTTCAGATTCCCTTTTGTTTTTCCCTTTTTTGGTTGCTGATTTTTTCTTCTGCTGTTGTAGTTGAAGTTGTCTTTTTTACATTTCTTTTTTTTTTCACCCTCTTCTTCATTTTTTAACCTTTTTTCTTCAGTTCTCCATATGAGTTTCCTCTGGAAAAATTTCTCCCTCTCTTGTTTCCTCTGAAATGATTTATTTTTTTATTTTATTTTAGTTTTCTTTCATGTCTTACACATATTGTTGAAAGAATACCAATTTAAATCTTCTTATTAAACTCAACACCATGTAGAGAATAAAGTTTAATATCTTGAACCTTCTTTATGTAATCTGAAATTAGAGAATGTAATTGTGTTTGTCGGCTAATTAATTTTGTAATTGCGAAATTTTATTTTGTATAATCTTTTTTATGTAATATAAGATAATTTTTTAAGAAATACAACACTATATGCCTTTATTTATATTTTTACTTTGATATTAAGTGAATATAAATGACTTATTTAATTGGAGTTTGACATAAAGCACAATCACAATTAAACCTAAAATTAACACAGTACATTAAATATTATTTTGGCCAAAACTCCTAAAGTTAATCGATCATCCTAGAGTAATACATCAAGAGTAAACTATATAAATATTTTTTAAAAATCACAGAATCCCTTTGTGATGATTTAATTTAATGGTGCAGATGAATGAATGTATAATTGGCGGCTCGTTTGACGATGAACTTGAACTCATGGTACCTTTGGATCTTGTGAAGGGGGGGCTCAATGACGCATTGACGCAAACAAAATGCTTATGGCTGTTCACATCAACCAAAAGTGATACATACCTGATTACATTTCCATTTTTTCCTATGGGCATCCTCTCCTATTTCTTTGATGAAGGTAACATTTAAGACCACAAATTGCTCTTCTATTTCTTTCCCGTCTGTTTCCATTTAGTTTCACGGCTCTGTGCATGGCTTTAAGGGTTAAAAGATAATGATTTGGTTACCCATTCGAGTTGCCAAATAAATATTGCTGAGATTATCTATTAACCCTTAAAGCTGAGATCTTTTAACTTACATGGGAATGTATTTATTATTTTGTGTTGGGATACAATGTGGAGGGTTAGAACTCATAAACTTGCAATGCCTAGAAAACAATACCTAAGATGAAAATAAGTCCCTTAAAGTTAAAAAGCAAGCATTTCAAAGTAGGCTTGTGCTTTAGCAACTAAAGAGAAACATCTTTTTCGATAAAAATAAAAGTCATCAACAGTATTATGTAGTAAGAAATCGTAATAATTTTGAACTAAAATTCTTTTTTGTAAAGCTAAACTAGCTCATGTATACCAATTAGTAAAGCTATTTCTTAAAATTTGGTAAGACAGTTCCTGTATAACAATCTTTTTTTATAATGCACCACATGACAATCCTTTCATAACTTGTCCGTAAAGGTGTTTTAATGATTTTTCTCATGGATCTAACTTTTAATTTCATGGTTTTGATTCTGTAGCAAATGATAGAGAGCCTGTGAAGTCCTTGGTCCTTGGTCAGCCAGTTTTACTTGCTTTGCAAGATATTGATGGAACCCCATCATTCTTGGAGAAGGCCTTTAGGTTCATAGAAGAGCATGGTGAGCTTCTCCTCCTACTGTATCAAATTAATATGAAATTGTTGATGTCTGGATGTATTAGTTCTTCTAGATTCTGAGCTTCACATTCCTGAAGTATTTCTTTCTCCTCTTAAAGGTAAGTGCAACATATTCCCTATCAGTGTTGTCAAAAGCAAAAAACTCTAAAACCGCTCCATGTCGATTGGGGCTTTAAGCCCAAAGCACAATTAAAGTGCGGGCTTTAGTAAAAAAAGACGCAACTAAAAAAATTAAAAATTCATATGTCATTTACGATAAAAGAAACAAATTCATTCTTAATGATTTCTGAGAATGAATTCATTGCCCTGGATCTTCTTGTGCAAGTCAATCTTTCACTCTCAAATATGCACACATTGAAATCCCCTCCAATCACCCACTGATCAGACCGTAAACCTCTTACTCCGGCTAGTTCAATCCATAAATCCTCCCTTTCTGAATTGGTATGAGGTCCATATACCCCTGTAAAGACCCATTTAAAATCTTCTTGAAGACTCTCGAATCTGCAGGAGATTGAGAAAATGCCAGTCTGAGTATCAACACAGTCCCAATTTCTTCTGTCCCATAGAATAAGAATACCCCCTCTGGTATCGGATGCTTGAAGTTCAGCCCATGCAACCGATCGACTATCCCATAGTTGCCTTATTAGTTTTGAGTTCCAATTCTCAATTTTAGTCTCCTGTAGACACACTACATCCACTCCACATTTTTTAATCAGAGATTTAAGTGTGCTCCTCTTCTTCCTGTCATTAAGCCCCCAAACATTCCAACTTAGGATTTTGATTCTCATTCAGGAGATGATTGGTGAAGCCTGCCCCTTCCTTTCCTTGTGCTGTCATTCAAACCCCAGTTTAGTTTTTTAAGTTCAGATTCCCCTTTGTTTTTCCCTTTTTTGGTTGCTGAATTTTTCTTCTGCTGTTGTAGCTGAAGTTGTCTTTTCTGCTCCATATCCTTTTGATTTATATTATGTTATTCATTACTCTATCATTCATTTGTTAGTGTCACATACAATGCTGTACCACCTTTGCTACATATTTGGTTTACTTTGTAATGTGGAGCTTGATATCCTATCACTAGGCCTAGATTCTCAAAGCTTGATCAAATACTTGTGAAACAGCAGCATATCCTTAACATGAGATTGTCTACAAATTGTTATGGTACTTAACATTAAACGTCAAGTGGTTATGCATGAAATAGTTCTCATCCTTGAACCAGAGCTAGTTGTAAAAGGCAAATGAGCATATGTTTACAATTTTAGATTTCTATATAGAAATAGATTCTCAATATTGTTTGAAAAAATAAAGAATCGAGACTTATATATCATCTATTGAGACTTCATAATATAACTGAGATATCTCAGATAGTGTAAAATCATTAGAATTGTTCAAGTAACAACAAAACATAGAGCAAAGTAACACTTACAGCACAAATTCTTCCCCTGAGATCTATTACTTATTGGGGTAAAATGTTTGTGTCCTCATATTAACAAGCTTCGTTTGTGCAGAAGATGATGAAGAAGAAAAATATGAAGAGGAAGACAGAGATGAAGATGAAGTGAAATTAGCCCACAAGAATCACAGCTCCTAAGGAATGTCATAATATGACACAATCTGTAAATACATATGTTCTGAATACTACACATGTTCCGTCATCCGTAAAATACTGAGCAACATTGGAAGGACACATGTTCCGTCATCTGTAAAATACTGAGCAACATTGGAAGGACACATTTGAAACAATAATTCTGATTTTCCCACTGTTATAAAGAATGTTGAAACATATACTCTGAATTCCTTACTGAGTTCTTTTCTTGAATTCCGCATCTGTGTTTCCTTTTCTTGCCTGATTATCTTCGTCAACTTACCATGGTATCTCGCAAGGACTTTCTGCAGAAATATTCATAGTAATTTAATGGATGAACTAAAAATGATAGTTCCAAGATTGATTCTTTGAACTTCAAAGGAAGACTTTACCTCGTGCAAGAAGAATGTTTGGTGACAATTTACATGGATTTGCAGATCACAGAGGCTTGGCATTAGATTTACTTGGCAGTGGCATGACTGCTCTGCATTGACTAAAACCAGGAGAACAAGATTAACCTGAATGAGATTAGATTTTAACAGCCTAACCATATTATCACTTTCGCATCTATCTACTGCCTAAACACCACGCTGAGGTTGTGAGCTTGGCCTGACATAAAATTATGGATAACTGGTACATACCTGCATGTCACATTCACAAACCAAAAGGCACGTCGTATGAGATTTTCAGTTCCAGTTCTAGTGTCTATATATACACCGGTCCTGCAGAAATTACTTTGTAGATAGGAATATCATTACTATTAGTTCTATTTTTCCGCATGTTTCATATTTTCTTGATTTAAAGTTTGTATCAAATTTTAGCTTTCATTAAGAGCGTGGGTGATCGTAATGAAAAGGTTACCTCTTGTATGGAGGGTTAACTACACAGTGTTCAACTTTCACTTTATTGCACCAAAATCATGAAACCATTTCTTATAATGAAAAAATCACTTCTGATGAATAGAGTATAGAGAAAAACTTTGTGCATTTTATTACATGGACAATAAGAGCAGAAAATTTATTCATCAGAATTCTTGGGAGACCCGTATTGCTTCTTCTGATTGCAATATATATTAAGCTTTGTATGCCTCTGGATATCATTTGGAGACTGCACAGGTGTTTTCAGAAGACATGTTAATCTTTCCCCGTTCAGAATGGTGTGTAGGTCTTATTGGTTAGCTCACTGGTTACTCGGGCATAGCACCAAATGATATTATTGTAGGAATGTGAAT